CGCCCGTCCGCCCGCCCGCCCGCCCGCCCCGTCCGCCCGCCTGCCTTTGCACCCGACCTCCCTCCCTCACTCCTTCCTGCACCCCCACCCCTCAGGGCCGGCTCGGGTCGGGCCGGGACAAGGGCGGCCGGGCCAAGCCTCGCCCCAGTTCCTCCCTTCCCCCGATTCCGATTTCCTTCCATCTTCCCCCCGTTCATTTTGCGGCAGGACCTCGCCCAGGCGATGCGGCTGGAGGGCGTTCGAGGTTGATCGCCTCCCTCGTTTGATTGATGTCAGAAGCCCGGGCCAAGTCGTCATGGCAGGAACCTGCTGTTCCGACGGTAGCGGGCTCCGAAGTGGGTAGAGTGGCCTGATGAGGACGGGCCTAGAAAAGCACGAGAGGGCCTGGGGTCGACTCAGCGCACCGTCCATTGCCGCTCACCCTGACCGGTCCTCATCCCATGGGTCTCTCTGAGCCGCAAGGGGGGCGAAGGGCAAGTTTGGGATGGTGCACTGGCTCAGTCCCCCCCCCACTTCCGTTCACTGTCTCCTCCCCTCCCTCCGCTTTCCGCAACCTTTGGTCCCAGGAGGATTGCCTGCAGGCAGTTCCTTCGCCCCTCACCCGCAGCACAGCACCGCCATGACTGGGCCCTCTGACCAGCGGGCGAATCCGCGGAGCTGGAGCCGCACACCCAGGGGGAGATGAAGCAGGAATTTGTGCTCGAGTTCTGGATGTCGCACACGCCATCCATTCGCAGCAGCCTGCCCGCAGCAACGGACAGCGAAGCCAAGCACGACCCAGGCGGGGCCTGCAAGCAAGAAGACCTTGTTCGAGCGGTCCGTGAAGCACCACTGGGGACTCATGGACCCTGGGCAGCAGGCAGCCTGGCGAGTCGCGGCGGCTGCCGGCGGGCCCCCCCCGGGGCAGCCTGCCATTGTCTCCCCAGTCCCCCAGGGTGGCCCCCCAGGGTTGGATGGCGCTCTCGACTTGGACGCCCCCGCAACCCCGCCCTGGCGCCGGAAGCCCAAGACCCGGTAACCAGGTGCCTGCTCCGCATCCGGCCACAGCCAAAACCTGAGCTCTGCGCCGTCGTGGCACGCCGGCCGCGGACAAGCGGGGGGCCAACTGACGTCGGGGGGAGGCGCCATACCAGCACAGCCTCTTTTGCGCCGAGTGCTAGAGTGCGTGGGAGGCTGAGCGAGCGACGTCTCACGAGTGCCCCTTCGACCAGGGCTACGGGCAGGCGCCCTGGCCGCACGCAGAAGCGCAGCCGGCGGCACAGGAGCCAGCCGCCAGTGGCGGAGGAGGGCCCCGGCCAGCGCGCGACGCCTTGCACGCGCAGACGGGCCCCCCGAAGCTGGAGGACGCGGGATTCCCAAACCACTCAGGGGCAAGGGGGGCGCTCGAACTCCCCCCCTGCCCGCGCAGCGCGCGGGCTGCCCAGACGCGGGCTTTCCGCGCACGACAAGTCAAGGCACCCACGAGGAAGCCTCCTACTGCGTTGCTGCTCAGTGGGCCATATTGAACGCCGCCCGGGCGGGCGCGACGCAGGCCTCCCGACCCCGGGCGCCGCGCAACAGCCTGCGGGCGCCCCGCAGGCCACAGGGCCCGCGGCGCTGGGCCAGCTGGGCCTGTCGGTCACGGCGGGGGGGCCGACGCCGGCGACTCGGCAGGCATCGCCAGCGCTGATCGCGGGCAGCTCGCGCGCGCTCTCGCCGCGACCAGGCCATCGGGGCAGATGCGACTGGCACGCGCGAAAAAGGAAAAAGGGGGGGGGGGAAAAAAAGAGAGAGAGAGAGAGAGAGAGAGAGAGAGAGAGAAAAAAAAAAAAAAAAAAAAAAAAAAAAAAAAAAAAAAAAAAAAAAAAAAAAAAAAAAAAAAAAAAAAAAAAAAAAAAAAAAAAAAAAAAACGACGATCCGCGCGCGATGATACGCGGAGAACGCGCACAGGAGCGCGACGCCCAAATGCTCCCCCGAGAAGTCCGCACGGGCGGCACTATAGTTGGACCGCATCTTGGAAGTCGCAAAGACAAGCGCCCCGCCGGCCCCGCACCCCCCACCCCCCTCAGGCACAGCTGAAGGGACTGACAAAAGGCGACGGCAATGGACCTGATCGGTGACGTCGTCGCGTCGCTTCGCTGCTCAGCTTTGCATCGCTGAGGGAAAAGTGGGCGCGGGCTGCGCGCTCGCCCTGGCGCGGCAACAGATTCGGCTACCGCCGCACGGGCGCGCCGCGGAATTTCCGCTTCGATCGCCTCCCGAACGGCGCAATCTGGGGCAGCGCGGTCAGAAACTCTGGCACCTGGCAAGGGCCAAGACTGTCCGCGGTGTCACCAAAGCCTCCCGAATGGGATTTACAAGCGCATGGGGCGGTGATCTGGCTCGGCGGCCCACTTCTGCGCGGTCGTTTTTAACGCGCGCCCCAGCAGTGCGCGGCGCCCGCGGGCTGGCCGGCCCCCGCTTCGGCAACGGGGCGCCCTCTTCGCAGGCCCCGCCCCCGTCTGGCCAGGACAGCGACGCCCACGCTCGGGGCTCGCCGCCAGCAGCCGCCGCGCCGAACCCGAGCCGGTCAGGGGTAGCGCCTCCGACGCGGGCGGCTTGCGACCGAAGCTCGAGGAGCGCGCGCGCTCGCGGATGCAGGCGCCAGCAGGCCTCTCGCTCACGCCGCCGGCGGAGGACAGGCGCCGCCTGGACCGGTGGTTTGGAGGTTTCTGACTGGGTCGCGCTGCACAGGGCGCACAGTCGGCCCGCAGCATAGGGATGCGCGATGAGGACGCAGGGGCCTTGGACGCCCCTTTCGCCCATTTTGAAAACTGCCGGTCGCTGATAAACGAGTGCGCGCGCAGAATATGGCCTGCAGAAAATGAAGCGGAAGGTCGATGCCGGTTGGGCTGAACGGTTCGAATTCATATTAGGGGTGGACGATGGGGCAGAATCAGATGTTAATTCAATACGAAAAGGGATACGGATAATCCCGGGGGGTAAATCTACTTATTTCTAAGAAAGGAGAACTAACCAATGCTCACTGGTGGGCTGTGAACTCCACTGCTCGCGCATTCATCCCACCCACCAACCAGAAACTTGGCTTGCAAAACCAATGGGAACGCAATTACGGCGCATCCCTGACGCTGACTGGCGCATCGCCGCGGCCGCGCTTGCGCGCGCAGGCTCGCACGCAGAGCGGCCAGCTGGTTCGGCGCGACCGACGCGGCCGCGGTGGCGCTCAACACTGGGGGCTTCCCAACGCATCTCGCAAGCCGCGCTGACGCGCGCGCGCTTCAATGCGAGTTCGCGTCGGGTGGGTGCGATATCACGGCGACGTCGACAACGGCAGACACGATGATGATTGCAGCGCGTCGAATGTCGACGATGACGACGTCGGCAAGGCAAATTACAGCGCCAGATGCTGATCACGCCGATGAAGACGATGTCGTCTACCCGTCGGCGATGAAGGTTTTGGAAGGATTTCGGCATGCGCGCGCGGCCGACGGGCGCGAGTGGCCCGCGCCGTGCGTGTTTTACCTCTATATCTATATCTATATGTATATATATATATATATATATATATATATATATATATTAATCTCGAATCGCAGCCCCACCCCACCCCACCCCCACCCCAGCACGCGCGCAGGGGCGTTCGAATGATTCGGACATGCGCGCGCGAGAGGCCCCCTTGATCGCACGCGATGGAAAAATGACGAAAAAAGTGCGATTCCCCTGCGAAGTCGCAAAATCGCGCGCGGGGATCTTTTTTCGGAAAACGGGTGTTGCAAAACCATTTGTTTGCATGCGTCGTCGGGACACTCCGCACGAAACCTCATGAATGCACAAGATTGCGGCACACGCGCACGACGAAGAGCGCGCGTGCACTTCGACCCATCTCACGCGTCTCACAACAGATGGGCAAACATCACATGATAATTCACGCCCTTAACCAGGAGAGGGATAATCCCAGCCTCAAGGGGTGGTAGGTCCGAACTCCGATTCTTAGAAAAGAGAACCGACGTAGTGCGTCTACGTGGTACATTATACACTTTTGCCATGTCCACTGCACGCGCAATCACCCCACCCACCCACCAGAAACTTGGTTTGCAAAACCATGAGGTTGCAATTGTGATGCCTGCCTGACGCTGGCTGGCGCACCGCTGCACGCGCACTTCAGTGCGAGTCGGTGACTCAGGCGGGCGCGGTATCACGGCGACGTCGACAACGGCAGACACGATGATGAGTGCAGCGAGCCTGGTGACGACGATGACGATGACGACGGCAAGGCAAATTACAGCGCTGATGCTGATCACGCCACTGGCGATGATAGTGTCCACGCGTCGGTGATGAAGGTTTTGGAAAGATTTCGGCATGCGCGCGCGGCCGACAGGCGCGACTGGCACGCATGGTATAATGCGACAGGGATCGTGTCCCACGAGCACGCGCGCAAGGGCGTCTGAATAATTTCGATACGCGCGCGCAAGAGGCCCGCTCGGTCGCAGGTGATGAACATGTTGGAGAACATGGTTCCTGGAAAACTCGCAAGAGCGAGCGCGCACACTTTATTTGAAGATCCGTGTTGGAAAACAATGTGTGTTTTATATGTTGTTGGGACGCGCGATTTTGAAATCCTTGCGAAACCTACGGTGTTTGAAGAGTTTCGGCATGCGGGCGACGACGCGCGCGTGTGCACATCGAACCGTGTTTTGCAAGGGGTTCTTGAAACTTGATGATTTTTGATAGACGGGTGCGCGCGCATAGGATCATTTGGCTTGGATGGTGGGGGTGTCGAACCCAGCTTGGCTGGGATGGTAGGAATCTTAAAAAATTAGAACTGTCTATGGAGCGAAATGGTATCAATCGCACATCCCCAGGGTGGATCGAGAAGTCTGGGGGGGGAGGATGGTAGATCATAACACCTTTGTAGCCGCCAGACCAACACACCGACCCAAACTGTGGGCGGCGACAGGGCGGGGACAGCGGCATTATACCGGCCATAGCGGCACACCTGCCTGACGCCTTGGAAAGAAACAAAAAAAAACAAAAAAAACGGAGCGCAAGCAATGTTTGAGAGTAAACTTGTGGAGGTCCGCGCGGAGTTCTTGGATCTGCGCTGGACCCCCATCCCAGGCACGCGGAACACGCCAGGGGTGTCCAGCGCCGATCTGAGAAATCCGAGCGGACCTCCAGAAATTGATCTTGATGCACTTGTTTTAACTTATTCGACAACGTTTGGCCACTGCCTCAAGAGGCACACGAATGGTCCAACACTGCATGTGCGGCGCTGGGCAAAAGCCGGCCACATCGTGCAGGAGACCAACTGCGGCGTCGCACGCTTCTTTCACCCGAAGTCTGCATCGGGCCGACTTGTTCGATCAGGCGCAATGCGATTCTTTGGGAGAATAAAAAACTGCATAAACGTAAACGTTAACGGTCAGCGCAGATCTACAGAAATTATGTTCATGTAGCTTGTTTTTCCTGCATTTGCCCCAAACCAGCAGTGGCCGCTGTTGGGGGAGGCAACTTTCTGTCTCAAATGGGCAACGCCCGCTGCGACACAGGCAGCGAGTCCTGTTCAACATGGCAAAGAACTACTGTCGGTCTTCGTCTTCACTCTTTGAACAGGGACCGACCGTCCCGGCATTCGTATAGGCGTACCACGAAATATTCTTATAACCTAAAAATGTTCGAACTACAAAAAATGATCTTAGAACATAAACCAGATGTGCTAAAACTAAACAGTCCCAGCCAGAAATGTTCTAAGAATATGTCGTGGAAACCACAAAAGGTTCTTAGAACATTGTTTGGTAGGCCTATAAGCACGCCAAGACGCTTCGCCACTGCTTCAACTCTCTCCGTACCTGCGCCGCTCGGGCGCAACACGACTCTACTTCGAACCGCATCTGCGGTTGGGCATCTGACTGTCGTTTAACCGATCCCCATCCCCAGCGGAGAGGCCTGGGCCCCACTGGCCGATTTACCCCCCTAGATGGGGATGTGGGCCGTGCTCTTCGGGCTTCGAGGGGCGTATCCTCAACTGGGGGGGGGGAATTTGGTGGGGGCCTCGAAGGGGATGGGGATGGGGATGGGTCAGAGGGTCAGAAGGTCAGAGGCAGCATGCGCCGGAGCGCGCCCTGCGCGAGCTGCAGCGCGCGCGGGTCCCACTTTCTTGATGACTCTCGCACGCCCCATTCTTGAAAGTTCTCACACCCAGGCTTCTCGATGATTCTCCCAGGCTTCTCGATGATTCTCGGATGGGAATGGGGATCGGTTGAACGACACCGAGCATCTGCGGTTGGGCATCGTGCCCGTTTTCGCCGCACCCGCTGCGGGCGGGCCAAGTGCGGGGGGGCCGCGCGGGGGCCCCCCGTGCGGCGGGGCCTCCGGGCGTCGTCGCCGCCGGCCTGGAAGGCGGGGCCTCGGCTCGCGAGGAGGGAGAGGGGAGAGGAGAGGGAGGGTTCAGGGGGAGGGGGAGGAGGGCGATGAGGAGGGGCAGGAGGAGGGAGGAGGAGGAGAAGCAAGGGAGGGGGGAGGGGGAGGGGGATAGGCTCACTCGGACATGCTGTCGGGCCTTTTCGCTTTCGACTGCCCTCCGAAGCCTCAAGGTAAACCCAACAACGCCCAAAAAAGCCCCAAAAGGAGCCCAAGAGGGTCCCAAGACGGCCCCAAGAGCGCACAAGAGCGCTCCAAAAGCGCCCCAAGAGGGGTCCACGAGGCGAGCTTCAACGCTCTAGAGGGGCAGTGCAAACTCGGGACACCCAAGATGGCCCTCCAAGATGGCCCCAAGATGGCCCTCGAGGCTCCCAAGGCTGCCCCAAGAGGGAGAGAGAGAGAGAGAGAGAGAGAGAGACGCGCGAGTCCGCCGGCCGGCGGGCCGGCAGGCCCCTTAGGGGCGGCGCGGGCGGGCCGGAGCCCGGTCTTAGGCGCATGAACTTCAAGAAGATGTTCTCGAGGTCCGTCCAGGATTTGACATGTGTAGCACCCAGTAACCATGTGCCGGGTGCGCTCCCCACCAACACGCTCTGTAAGAATTCTGTGATATCGTCACTCCACTGTTTTCGCTGTCCACCCTGTCGGCGTTGTGCTGCCCGAAGGTCATGGATATCAGGCTCCCATGCCGCTGCCAGTCGGGCCCAAGAGTGGTGTGGTTGTGCGGCAACTCGCCCAGCCCATCGCCATTTACGCTTGTGATAAATCGTCACCCATTCCTCCACCTGTGCGCGCGTCGCAAGGTCTGAGGCGGTGTGGGTTGCCCTGCGGATGAAATGGGCCCAGGGTTCAATGTCGGATTCGTCGTCGACGTCGTCAAAGTCTACATGCCGTTTGACGTCGGAACTGCTGTCGTCGTTTGTGCTCTCGTCGTGCTGGTCAGTGTCAGGGTTGAATGTGTTTTCGGCGGTGCTGGTGTGGGGTGGTCTCTGTCGGCGTCTCGAGGTATTGACAATGAGTCGTAGCATGCGTCGTTGGGTGCGTCGGAGTGTCAGGAGCATGTCTTTGGTGAGAGTCCACGTTGCGCAGCCGTACGTGACAGTTGGCGTCACTGTCCCGCTGAAGAGCCTGAGTCTGCTGTGAAGGGGGTACTGGTTGTTGGTGAGCTCGTTGCGGAGCTGGTTGAATTTGCGCCATCCCATTGCAAGTCTGTTGGTGAGCTCGGCGTGGTGGAAGTCGTGCAGCGTCAGCTTGCGACCCAGGTATTTGGTGCTTTCCTCGGCGCTGAGGATTTCGACCTTGTCGTCGTCGATGTCCACATGTGTAATGCATCGCCCCTGTCGCCTGCTCACATTTGTGAGGATTTTCGTTTTGCCGGGGTGCAGTGTAAGTCCACACTTCGCAGCTTCGTGTTTGAGGTCCCGCAAGATACACTTGAGTTGTCGTAGATTGGGTGCTTAGAGAAGTACGTCGTCAGCAAATCTCAAAGTGGTCAAGCGCGTCGTCTGGGCACTTCCCAATTGTATGCCGAAGCCCTTTCGTGCCCAAGTTGGCTTGATGTTCCGGAAGATGTGCTCGAATAGCGCGTTGAACAAATATGAGCTCAGCGGGTCCCCTTGCTTGACGCCGCGCTCAATGTTAAATTGTCTGCTTCTGACGTCGGTCTTTACCGTGGCTCTTTGATCGCTGTAGAAATTCTGCAGCAAGGTGATGTAGGGTTCTGGCACATCTTGTTTCCTCAGGGCTTCCCACAAACACAGATGGTCGACGCAGTCGAAAGCCTTCTTGAAATCGATAGCAGCTGTCCAGAGTGGGAGCTGCCATTCGTAGGACTGCTTGCAAAGTATAGTTGCAGTGAAGAGGTGATCCTCTGTGCTTAGGCCCTTGCGGAAGCCAGCTTGGTCAGGCGATTGCTGTGCGTCGAAGAGTGTGTCAAGTCGGTTGCCAAGCAGTCGGGACATGAGTTTGTATAGTAATGGTATGATGGCGATGGGTCTGTACTTGCTTGGTAATTGCGGGTCTCCGGGCTTATGGATTATGCTGATGGTGGTATGTCTCCACTGTTCCGGCGGTGTCTGCTCAAGTGCTATACTGTCGTTGAAGAGCACCAGCAAATGCTTCACGATCGTGTCCCCCCCTGCTTTCAGCAGCTCTGCGGTGAGCCCAGCCGTGTCTTTGCACTTACCGTTTTTGAGATGCTTCACTGCTTGGTGCAACTCCTCGTAGGTGAATGGTGGAATACTCTGTCGAGGTCGCTTTGCTGATACTTCTTGGGCGTCTGGGGAGCTGTTGGGCGCAGGCAAAATAATGCTTTCAGGGCGTCGGTACAGCTTCTCATAGAAGTCCGCGAAGACGTCTGCAATTCCCTGTCGGTCCGTCTCGTCGGAGCCCTTTGCTGTTGTCATGGCCGGTATGAGCTCTTTCTTCTTGCTGGACTTGATCCCGGAAATCTTGTTCAGGCCGCGGAAACTAACGATGATGTCGTTCAGGATTGCCTGCCGTTGAGCCCTTTTGATGTCCCGGTGCGCACGTAGAATACGTTTGCTGAGAGCTGTTCGGGTGGTTGTGTCGGCGTACGGCGTCGGGTGGTTGTGTTCGGCTGCCCCAAGAGGGCCCTAAGAGGGCCCCAAGAGGCGCCCCGGAGGCCCAGAGGACTCCGACAGGTCCCCAAGAGGCTTCCAACAGAGCCCTAAGAGGCCCCAAGAGGCTCCCCTGAGGCACCTTAGACGCACCAAGAGGCCTCCAGAACCGCCAAGAGGCCCCATGACTCCCCAAGAGAACTCCAAGAAGCTCTCTAGAGACTTGCGAAGACACTCTGAGAGACATCCAAGAGGCCTCTGGCCTTTCTGCTCGCCCTCCGCCTTTTCCTCATCCTCTTCGTCGTCCTCCTCCTCCTCCTCCTCCTCCTCCTCCTCCTCCTCCTCCTCCTCCTCCTCCTCCTCCTCCTCCTCCTCTCCTCCTCCTCCTCCTCCTCCTCGTCCTCCTCCTGCTCCTCCTCATCCTCCTCCTCCTCCTCCTCCTCCTCCCCCTCTTCCTCATCCTCCTCCTCCTCCTGCTCTTCCCCCCCCTTCTCCTCATCCTCATCTTCATCATCATCATCATCATCATCATCATCATCATCATCATCATCATCATCATCATCATCATCATCATCATCATCATCCTCATCATCATCACACTCATGACCACCACCATCAGCATCAGCATCATCATCATTATCCTCATCATCACCATTATCATCATCAGCATCATCATCATCATCATCATCATCATCATCATCATCATCATCATCATCATCATAATCGTCATCATCATCCGCATGACAGCATCAGCACCATCATCATCATCATCATTACCATGATCATCCGCATCATCGTCATCATGATGATGATCGTCATCATCATCATGATGATCATCATCATCATCATCATCATCATCAGCAGCATCATCAGCATCATCATCAGCATCCGCAGCAGCATCATCATCCCCATCCTCATCCTCATCCGCATCCTCATCCTCCTCATCGTTCCCCGCCCCCCCTTCCCTCATCCGCACATTCCCTCATCATCCCGCCTGCCTTCTCCCCCTCCACATCCTCATCCTCATCCTCATCCTCATCCTCATCCTCATCATCATCATCATCATCATCATCATCATCATCATCATCATCATCATCATCATCATCATCATCATCATCATCATCATCCAATTGATCCATCCCCCCCTCTTGGGATATGACGGCTTCCCCTGCCCTTTGTTTTACTGCATGTTCATCCACATCCTGAGCAGGGCAACTTGTCTGGGCATCGTTTCTGGATGGGCAGTTGGGGTTACTTTCGTTCGCGAGCGACACGGCACAACCGCGCGCCGTCAAAAAGCGAAGCTGCGGGGTGCTTAAACACCAGATGGATTTCGACTGCGGCGGCGAGCTGGGGGGAGGTGGGAGCTGCCTGGACTTGGGACCCCGTCTGGGTCTGGGGCCTGGGGCTGTAAGAGGGACGGCTGCGCGCCCGTGCCGTACCCCAGGGCGGGGGAGCGGCGAGCCACGTGTCTGGGTTGGGTTGGGAAGCGGGGGCGTCCAGCAGTTGGAGGACAGGGGGCGCCCCAAGTGGTCGCTGCAAGAGTCGGCTAGAATTGTTGTGACCGGGGGGGTGGTCCTAGAGGACCCTCATATCCGAAATGACCACCGCGTCGTGCGGGGCACAATCAAAAAGGGGGGCTTTGTACATTAGAGGAGGTGGCGGATGAACAGGACGATGAGCAGAACGAAAACGAGGACACTAAGGAAAGCTGAGGATCAGGATCAGCAACAGCAGGAACAGGAGGAGCAGCGGAAAGCGCAGGAGGAGAAAGAGGAGGAGCTGCAACAACGAGGAAGGAATCGGATCCACAAATGCGGCCCGCGCTGGGGCGAGAGCGCCGATGCTGAACGACCTCCTCCCTCCCTCGCACTTTTGCTACGCCATTCAGCCGACCGGACTTGCATTGTCAACCAGTGGAGTGCCGCCAGTCGTCTGACACGTCCCTGCACCTAGTCGTTTTCGCATCGTAGAGACATCCTCCCTCTCTCCATCCCCTCGTGGGCAGCCCCCGTGAGCAAAGGTCTCGCGTGGCGCTCTGGTGCCGGGCCCAGCGGCGGCGAGGCCCCCGGGACAGCAGGACTGCTGGCGCGGGGGAGTGGACCGAGGACAGAGCTCGTTAGTTATTGGACGTCGCTCGGAAGAAGCGGGTGAAAACATGAAGTAGGAAGGCATTGGAAATAGATCGGGCTTCCGCCCGCCACCTGAAGAGGAGGGAAGAAGGAAAACAACTCGATCCTTGAAGTAGGAAGGCACCCAAAGTAGATTGGGATCTGAGAGCCCAGGCATACCTACTTCCAACGACCGGCGTGCAGTCGTCGCTGGACCCTCTGGGGCCTCCAGGGGGCACTAGAAAGTGCTAGCGCCCACGTGTGCTTGTCCACCGAATCTCTTCCAATTAGGGCGCCGC